CATGTCTGTCCACAATCTTCTGTCTCGTGTGGTGTTGGTAGTCATGTCTGTCCACAACCTTCTGTCTTGTGTGGTGTTGGTAGTCATGTCTGTCTACAAACTTCTGTCTCGGGTAGTGTTGGTAGTCATGTCTGTCCACAACCTTCTGTCTCGTGTGGTGTTGGTAGTCATGTCTGTCTACAAACTTCTGTCTCGTGTGGTGTTGGTAGTCATGTTTGTCCACAATCTTCTGTCTCGTGTGGTGTTGAGTCATGTCTGTCCAAAACCTTCTGTCTCGTGTTGTGTTGGTAGTCATGTCTGTCCACAAACTTCTGTCCCGTGTGGTGTTGGTAGTCATGTTTGTCCACAATCTTCTATCTTGTGTGGTGTTGGTAGTCATGTCTGTCCACAACCTTCTGTCTTTGTGTGGTGTTGGTAGTCATGTCTGTCCAAAACCTCTGTCTCGTGTGGTGTTGGTAGTCATGTTTGTCCACAAACCTGTCTCGTGTGGTGTTGGTAGTCATGTCTGTCCACAATTTTCTGTCTCGTGTGGTGTTGGTAGTCATCATCATCATCATCTCTCTCTCTCTCTCTCTCTGCTGCTTTTTCCCTCCTATCATCACCATGTACTCCAGCTTCCTCCTCATGATATGAACCAAAGAATGAACATATACAGTAACTGACACATTACTTGTGCTTTTCTGTTTTGTTTTTTGAACTTAGTTCATATGTGCAGCGATGCGTTGTAATTATTTTGATAGCCTATCCGACATACAATGAAAAATCCGCAACTCAGGAGAATAATGCTGGAGATTACCATACCAATGACACGCCTGCAATCTTTTTCTAAAAGTTCTGTTACTCAGTTAATTGAGAGCATCCTGATTCTTTGCCTTGAATCTGCGTCTCCCCCGTGTGGGCTCCGGGTCCCCATTGTAGGGGTAAATAAGAATAGACTCACTGCCTCCCCAAGAGCATGTCATAAGAGTCGACTAATTGCGGAGCTTCCTTTGAAGTCAGAGTGCATCTGCCGGAAAGGCAAGGAACCAACAGTCTGTATTCAAGAGAATGAGATCTATAAAACTGATGCACACGCAACACTCAGGTTCTGGAGCAGGACTGCATTTCAGTAGTGGACGAGCAACCAGAACTTTCCGCCGGAGTGTACAGCTGGTGAACGCGAAGAAGAAGAAGAAAGAATCTGCATCTGTTTTTCGTATACCGCAAATAAAATTCTTATAAGGACATCATTGTATGTTAAATTCTAACATTTTACATCGAACGGTTACCAAGTTACACATTTTTAAAACCGGGCAAGACTTCTGAATCGGACTACAACTTAAAGCCATATTTAAACGTTTTCTTCTCTCTGCTGTCCAAAGACCAGAGGCCGAGTCTGGCACGGGTATTCCTGGGAACCAGATGAAAACCCGATAGCTTCTTTCCGAAAATATCAGATAGCCGAAAAAAATTGCTTCAGACGAGTCTGGTGTCCAGAGTGATGTATGTTTTCAATTATGCCGGCTGGATGGGTGCTAGACTAGACGTGAGAAGAAGTGAAAGGACGGCTTGAACTCGGTGAACTCGTCAAAAGTTGACTAGCTGGTTATCCGTTCTTCAGTAATTTAATCAGTGTATGTTTTTGCAGTGAATCCCGTGGGCATTCTCATCCACACACACATATACGCGCCTTCATGCACTTACCTATAGGTATTTATATTCATTCATACACACAGCTGCCCACAAACACACATATATACATACATAGAGCTTAGGCGTTGCGAACGCTCTTCGTAATGCTGAGGTGCAGGGTTCGATCCCAGCTGCGGGCCTTGCGTTTTGCGTTGGTTTCGACAGTGCTACCGAGAAGCCGACCGCCCAGAAAGCAATGGCAAACTACTGGACTTAAATCTGCCTAGAAAAACCACAACAGCAAAAAATGATGGGGTTGGTTCTGCAAAGTCCAGTAAAGGATCCGAAACTAACTTTAAGATACACACAGAACATGCGAGTGTCCTTACCCGCACAGGACTGCAGGCTAGTGTAACCACTAAGGGTGCTCTAACTATAACTTCTTTGGAGATTGAATGGGGTATCTGGGATCTGACTTGTTTTTCTGCTGTCCGGGATGAGATTTTTAATTTTTAGAAGTCTGGTAAACCTTTATACAGCAGCCCAAGGCGGACACGACCCATACACAGAATATGTGTGCACCCACACACACATGCGGGGATTTTTATCCTGGTATGGGACGTCGCAGGTCGACCCAGCCTCAAATGGGTACCAGGATGGGCTGTCCTGGGAAAGTAAAGACAGCCGGCGTAATGCTGACCACATTACCCACCGAGTGCCAATTGGTCTGTAAAAATATGGGTGCTCTTCCCATATGCCCGATGAGCCTAAGGGCGTGTAAAGGGATCTTTACTTTACTTTTTTTTTACACACACACACATATATATATACGCGCGCGCACCCACCACACACACACACACACACACACACACGGTGTTTTTAAGTACACCAGCTGAAGACAGTCCAGGTCAGGTTACAACCACCCACCCGGCAACGCAGACGGCTATGAGGGGAACCCGACATGGCGGCCAGACGCCGGTAAAGTATGCAGCAGCCCCAAGTGAGGACAGCTTATTTACTGACTTGTCAAAATAAGTCCTACCACAGACTGGCGAGACCCGCTGATGGCTATTCTGATATACTGTTAGTGAACTAGCGGCGGATGCCTGCTTGGGAAGCAAGTGTTTGACTACGTCAGGGACCATGATTGTAATGTGTGGGCAGTGGGGGAGGCATGAGAGTCCAACAGTGGCTGACTGACGGGGTCGAGTTGGGAAGTTAGGAGGTCGAGTTCACATTTACAAACCTACGGCAGTGAGTAGTGACCGAAGTAGAAGTGCAAAGGACTCGAAATTCTCATACGCCAGCAAATGTGCGACTTATTGGAAATTCCCAAATACCAGCACTGATGCGAGGTATCATTAATTCGGTAAGTTCCACGATAATCTCCCCAAACAAACTAGGCCAAGTTTCATTCATAAATTGTTTAAACTGGTCTGCTGCCCGGGGGGTTACGGGTTACCGCTATGTTGTTTCCTTTCTAGCTTGTCTTGCATTTACGTTTCTCTTCCGAGAAAGAGAATGCATGTGACATAGGTTGCAGCTCTGTCTAGGGAGGATGTGTGTTAGATCTAGTTTCTAAATGTTTTTGTAGTGTTAAAAACGCTGGCGTGCTTAAATATACAACAAGCGATATCAACGGCATTGCTGAACACCCCAGTAGCGGTGTGCAAAGGTGGGGGTGACTGAAGGTCGGCCAATCAAAAGTGAGCTAATGTGTATATGGGCGGTCCGTGGGGAAACTTTCGTGGAACTTACCCATTAATTCATATATACCAGCAGGAGTGCGAGTTGCTGGTGAGGTCAAAGCGCTATTCAGTAAATTAAATAATACTGTTACTCGGTGGTAGGTAATTTGCTGGAGAGAAACAAATCGTCACGTTCAACCAGCATCCCCGAAGGGACAGCTTTAGGTTATAATTGTGACTAGGTTATGTGCGCTATATGAAATGGCTTAGCATTGCATGCCACCAATAAAATTCTGTTAGTGCACACCCGAAGTGTTCAGACAGGCGACATCGCTAAACAGTAAAGTGTGTACAATTTGCGCTAAAAGCCGCCTGGTTTTAAACAGCCAGTAACGCCACCCATTCTTTTTAGCGTTCACGAGTAGGGAGCCGCGTTAGCCTAGCCTACTCGCTGCAGCCACGGTCGGTGCTCGAAACCGGGGTTCATCCAGGAAATGGGTACCAGAGTGACACTCTGGGGTAAATGGAGGAATGTCGCTGTAGCTACAGAGTTACGTGCGAACGGCGACACAGGCGGACAGTTTCTCATCAGCTGTCCGTACTGGTGGCAGAGCACTTATGGTTATAATCGTGTGCAATGACGCTGGCTCACATCTCCCGACTTTACCTTTACTTTACCTTTACGCGAAAGCGAGGCAATACATTAAACTATTATGATTATTATTTATGTTTTTAGTTTTGTTTTTGTATTATATTAATTTGTTTAGACACGCAAACAGCGATAATGAGTGAAACATTGAATAATTATTTTTTTAAACTCCATGCCCCATTGGCGTGATGCTGACACTCACCACATCACCCGCCCAGTATCGACTGGTCTACAGAGATATAGGTCTAGCCACGACCGGCTCCAGCTGATGGGTCGTGCTGCTGACGTCACCGGGTCGGGCTAACGATGCTTGAACGCATCGGTTCTCAAACTGCGCGACGAGGCACCCTGCGGTGCCTTGAGCGTATTCCAGGGGTGCCGTGGCAATAAATAAGAAAAGCCGGCTAAACATTGTGAAATGATTAAAGAAGGCATGTAGATACTTAAAAGTTAAAATTTAAATTGTCTTCCCTCGCCACAGTTGAAAATAGTTTGTTTTCTTGTTTGAGAACCGCTGCGTTACCGCATCGTTAGCCCGACCCGGTGACGTCAGCAGCACGGCCTGTTAGTCACAGCCGGTCGTGGTCGGTAGTCCTGTACTCCAAATTCGCCCGAAGGCGTGGAAAAAAGGCCTTAGCTTTTTTTCTTCTTTCAACTGCGTCGCCTGAGAAGCAACAAACAAGGTTCAGGGCAACTGATCGTCTAAACAGTTAAAGTTATTACCCCGTGTGGATTCCGGGGCCCTATTATAGGGAAAACAAGAATAGACCCACAGCCTACCCAATAGCATGTCGTAAGAGTCGATTAATTGGGAGCATCCTTCGAAGTCGGAGTGCATCTGCCTGAGAGGAAATGAACCAGCAGTCTGCATACGAATTAGTCAGATCTGTCAAACGGATGCACACGCAACTCTCAGGTTCTGGAATAGACTGCAGTCCGGCGGTGGATGAACAACCAGAACTTTCCACCGGAGTTTACAGCTGGCGAACACGAAGAAGAAGAAAAAGTAAGTTATTAACTCTTCTATTAGGCAAGCAGAAGTTTGAGAGAACCGACACTGCAATCCAGTAAATCACTTATTAACCCAGGAGAACGCCCTGTATCACAATCACGGCCGATCAATCTTCTAGAACATTCCCATTTACCCACCTACTGGGGGTTGCTGAATGAGCGGCGTGGGGAGCCGCGGGTGTCGGCTATTTGTGTGCAGTTGAAATAGAAACTCGTTTCATGAAATGGAACAAAAACATCCACGCTGACTGAATTCCAAAATTCGGAAAGTACAACACGAGCTGTTTGTAGATAGGCGGAGGGGGCACTGTCAGCTGCTGGCATTTCTTTATTTCTGCGAATGTGTTTCCGCGTGGAGGTAGGTACTCATCCGCTCATTTAAAAAAAAAAAATATTTTGTAACTTAACGGATTTCAGAACTGTGGTACCAGCTTCAGCCGTTACGTTATTTCATGTTCTCGTGATTTCAGAACTGTGGTACCAGCTTCAGCCGTTACGTTATTTCATGTTCTCGTGATTTCAGAACTGTGGTACCAGCTTCAGCCGTTACGTTATTTCATTTTCTCGTGATTTCAGAACTGTGGTACCAACTTCATTCATTACTTTATTTCATGTTCTCGTTATTTCAGAACTGTGGGCACCAACTTCAGCCGTTACGTTATTTCATGTTCTCGTGATTTCAGAACCGTGGTACCAACTTCAGTCGTTACGTTATTTCATGTAATCATGATTTCAGAACTGTGATACCAACTTCAGTCGTTACGTTATTTCATGTTCTCGTATTCAGCAAGTTAATATATTTACTATTGTTTGTTTGTTTGCGTTCACCGGCTGTAAACCCTGGCGGAAAGATCTGGTCGTTCGTCCATTTCTGGACTGTGGTTTTGTTCCAGGACCTGAGTTTTGGTGTGCATCCGTTTTACAGATCTTGATATTTGTATACAGACTTGCCTCTCAGGCAGAAGCACTCCTACTCTGAAGGAAGCTCCAAAACTAGTCGACTCTTACTATATAAGCTCGTTAAAAGGCAGTGGGTCTGTTCTTGTTTTCCCCATGGATTAACTGTTTCTTATTTACTGCATTAGTTAGCTGTGCATCAGTTATAATGTGAGTTATATAATTCCAATCCTGACATATGAAAGCGAGTCACTGACAGACAGTTAGGATAAACTTCAGCTAGGGGTCTAGGTGGCGAATTGTTGGCCTCGTGCCCTGAAGGTCGTGAGTTCGTATCCCCGACTAGGTCGTTCTATTTGCAAAGCAATCTTTACTCGGATGCCTGGGGACTGCTGTCGCAGTAATAGAGCTCGTGCTTTTTTCGAAGCTCTGGGTATGCGGCTAGCCGTTCTGCAGACACAGACCGAGCCAAGAAGGTTAAAATCGTCTGCAATAAAGTTGACCGTGGGCGGTTTTTCTTTCTTGGGGGGGGGGAAGGGGGGGGGGGGAGAGAAATTACATACCAGGGGTGCCAATTAACTGGGGTGGGGTGGGGGAGGGGTGCTGAGCTCCGCTAAATATGTTCTAGGGGTACTCAAGTGGCAAAGGCGTATAGAAAGATTAAAACAGTAGTAGTAGCAGTGGTGGTAATGGTAGCACCCCCCCCCCCCAATCCCCTCATAGACTACCTCACCATTTAAAATACTTTACAAAGTGCATGGAGAAAAACGGGGGGGGGGGAGGAGAGGGGTGCCCAGTTCCCTGAGTGTCCTCTTGAAAAATGTAAGGTGAATGAGCAGCAATAGTACTCTAAGTGGGCTAAGATACCTTTTTTAGGAAAGTCTCTTTTAAAGAAATTGTTGATGCAATTCCCATGACTTTAAGTATATTATTATATTTATTCGCCATTCAGCACACTGTTGAGATTACTATGGTTATTACTACTACCATTGCTGCTGCTGCTAATATTTTTATTGTGCTGATTTGGCAATTAAATATAATATTACTCTATATGTGAAATAGTTTGAAGTGTAAAAACAAAGACTTTTTCAAGAAAAATGTACATACATGGTTTAATGGAGCTTCTTAATCTCCTAACAAAAATATTGACTACAAAAGGAAGGGGACGGGGCGGGCTGGGGAGGGGGGGGGGGGGGGGTAAAATACCTCGGCAGTAGTAGTAGCAGTTGTTGTTGTTGTAGCGAAGAAGAAGAAGAAGAAGAAGAAGAAGAAGAAGAAGAAGAAGAAGAAAAGAGAAGAAGAAGAAGAAAAGAAGAAGAAGAAGAAGAAGAAAAGAGAAGAAGAAGAAGAAGAAGAAGAAGAAGAAGAAGAAGAAGAAGAAGAAAAAAAAAGAAGGAGGAGGAGAAGAAGAAGGAGGAGGAGGAGAAGAAGGAGGAGGAGAAGAAGAAGAAGGGGGAGGAGGAAAAGGAAGACTGATTGCATACGTACGTAGCAAAGGTTACACACACGATGTGACAAAGAATACGACGTAAGCTAGCTACCGCAATACAGTCTGCAGCTCAGAATAGCACGTCTTGAGATGTGGGCGTGATCGTTCGATATCGGCTCCTGGATACTGAGGCGTCGAATTTCTTTGTGGAACGAAGAACATGCGTTTAACTCTTAACGATGGTGAGAGTTTAGGAAACGATTTACCTCTAGGAGAGTCCATTTACTATTAGAAATCAACGTTTAATAACGTCCAAGCTTTTCAACTCTATACTGGTATTATTACAACTGCTGGAGTAGCAGGCATTCGTCACCACACTGGACCGTCATTCGCCTATTAATGTCTATTGGTTTCATTACTTCACTGGGGGGAAAAAAAACGGATATCAGAACGCTGCTCTTCTTTGGCGCATGTCAAAAGTGGGACGGTCATCTGTAAACTGTCATTACGACGTCACCGTGTTAGTCTGCTGACAAGTTACAAGACAAGGGCATGCTTACCATAACCGACAGCAATAGCCAAACGGCCCTAAGTCCTCCGGTTTATTTAAATGACGATACTAGTAGACGTAATACATTGTTTGTGTAAGTTCACATAATAATATTCTTTAATATTTAATATTGTTAGAGGTTAGCGTTAGGGCTAACCCTAATCTTAACCCTTTCCGAAAGCAATATTAAATATTATTAAGCTAGTTGCGTATACTGTACAGAACGTTGCGGAACCAACCCCCAGAACTTTTTGGCTGTTGTGGTTTTTCTAGTTAGAAAAAGAATTCTTGCTTGCTATATACATCCAGTTTTAACATATGGCTGTGAATCCTGAACAATCGGTAGGCAGGCCAAACAATTTCTTGAAGCCTCAGAGATGTGGTTTTACAGAAGAATGCTTAGAATACATTGGGCAGGCAAAAAGAGCAACCAAGAGGTTTTGAAAGAGGCGGGAGCCCGAAGACAACTTATCACAGACATCAGAAGGAGACAGTCATCATTTTTCGGTCATGTTATAAGAAGAGGGAAAATAGAACATGTTGTGACCACTGGAAAGATCTGTGGAAGGAGGGATAGAGGAATACAACGAGAGAAGATTATTGACAGTCTTGTTGCATGGCATGGAGGTGTGTCGGCACACGAACTGATCCATGCTGCAGGAGATCGCAGATTATGGAGAGGTATGATCGCCCACGCCAGTCGGCAAGGCACATGATGATGATGGTTTTCCTAGGCACAATTTTACGTTCACTAGTTTGCTAATGCTACTGAACGGTCAGCTTTCGGTACGACAGTCGAAACCAATGCAAGAAAAATTGTCCGAAACTGGGATCGAACCTAGCACCCCGGCATTACGAAGCGAGTGCGAAACGTCTAAGCCACAGACGCCGACTTTTAAATTAAATATTGCATAATATTATTATGTAAATGTACACAAACAATCGAAGCTGTTCTTTTCGGATCGCCGTTTGAAGTAATGAGCAAGTATAAACGCACTCGAGAGTCGCGGTGGCGGTGCGGACGCTCGCCTGCGGATCGGAAGGTCGTGGGTTCGGTCGCTGGCGGAGCCGGACTTTTTTTCAAAAATGAACTTGGCTCCCAGGTCTAACCAGCGTTGAGTGGGTACGGGGGCAGTCGAGGGAAGTAAAGGCGGCCGGCGTAATGCTGACCACATAACCCATCTTGTGATGATAAAGGCAAACAGACTTCGTTCGTCTACTGAAGAACACGACGGGCATACTAAATTATCCCGGACCATAGCTCCCAGGTCGACCTTGCTTCAATGGATACCAGGAAAATGTCCTTGGAAGCAATGGCGAATAGTGCGATGCTGACCACATCACCCAGAGAGCTGACTGGTCTATAAAACAATTAGTCTAGAATTATACACCCAAAATGCCATTAGCTTGAAACAGGTCCTTTACCGATGTTTAAATGACATCATCCGTTACTTAAACATACAGGTTAAAATATGTTAATACATCTGAAACATATTTTTGTTATCCTTTGCAGGGCCAAAAGTGTTTCTTGACGAGCCAGCACCAGCTATGCCTGTGAAATCATCTGAATATTTTCAACCAACAACTAGTATATCACGTCTACCAAGCTAGTATATCTTCAACAACCCAATATATCACCTCCGGGAATGCAGTGTAACTCCTCCAACAAGACAGATCCTCAAACAACCTAATTAATCTTCTGCAACATCCAGATAAACTCATTGAACAACCCAGTAAACAGCCTCTGGAGATATAGATTATCTTCTCCAACAAGCCAGAGGGCACCCAATTAGTGCGGAATCAGTTTAGTTAGAATTTTTTTACTCTGATAACTGCTAAGGAAGACTGATCAGCTATGGGCTAGTCCTGGGTACTGTGAGACTGCCTCTGACAGCCAGTAGCCAGTATCTCAATTAAGTACAATGTCAGGTGCTTGATTTATCAACCACAATGGCCCTATACAAGAGAGTGTCCACTCTGCTGACCATCGCCTGTATTTTGTACATGTGCATGGTCAGTCTATTCCACAACAGTCTCCAGATCAGCAACTTGCAGCATCGTGGCTACATCCTAAATCCAAGTGAAAACCCAGATCTTGTTCAGGAACCTGTCTCTAACAGGACTATGAAAGAACACAGTAACGAAGTCAACCACAGTAGTTTACAGAAAACTAACCTGCCCAACAACCTTTTCCATTCACATTCTGATGCATATGACCACCAACAGTCAGCCCGTCAATTGACAAGGACTTCCTGGGTTATAAAGAACAAAAATACCACTTCTCTAGGAAAAGAACTGGCAGAATATCAATATATTTTACTAAGAAAATTGAGAGAAAGAACAGTGGAAAAAGCACAGATTTCTTCACAAGAACACACAGCTGAAGTCAAAAACTTGCCAGATCCTAATACTTCAAAAGTGAAACAGTACAAGGTTGATTTCCTTCCTTTGGGAGATTTGTATGTGTATGGGGCTTTTCTGGATAAAAGGAATTCTAAAAATCAATATGCAAGAATATTTGTCCTCCAACCAACTTACAAATGGGACAGCCAGCTGCTTTGCAGATTTCGTAATAATCACAACAGAAGCACCACAGTTCAGGCTGAACCATACGAAATGTGTGAGAATCATGGGCGGAGATATGGAGGCTGGATTTATTCCTGTCAGCTACCAAAGTCAGAAGATGTGGATCTTCATACAGTGTCCTTATTGCTGATTGCTGAGGACAGAAAGAGCTTTCATATCCTATCCACCATTCCACTTCAATCTCTCAGCACTGCTGGCTCAACAGAACCTCTGCATAAGCTTGAGGATCAGCCCTTTGGTGTGAATATCAAACATCCAACACAAGAGCAGATCAAATCTGATGAAGGAAATGACGCTCAGACAAAAACTGGAATGAAAATAGGAGTCTGCGTTCCTCCACTGTATGGGAATACCTGCTTGTCAAAGGTCATAAACTTCATTGAAATGTGCCGGCTGCTTGGGGCTAACAATATTTTTCTGTACATCAATGAGATACCAAATGATACATTATCATTTCTTCAGAATTATACAAGTCAGGGTCCAGACATTTTGACTCTTGTGACCTGGGACCTGCCAGTTGTACCCAGGAATACACGAGCTTCAGAAACAAATCAGATAATCTGGAACCATGGTCAGTTACTGGCAATTCAACACTGCTTGTATGCCAATATGGCCAATTTTGACTGGCTGCTTTTTCTTGATATTGATGAAATGTTGATTCCAAAAACAGCTGGCACATGGCCGGAAATGCTCTGGCAAATGGAAACCAAATTCCACTCCCAATTTCCAGGCAAGCCCCTCTCAGGAATCTCCTTCCACAGTGCCTTTTTTCAACAAGACTTTCAATCTCATGCAACAAATTCTATTGACTATTTCCAGTACCTTCACCGTACCAAGCAGACCAGCTCTCAAAGATCCAAAATGTTTGTAATACCACGGCTGGTTTTTGAGCTGGGTATTCATCACCTCAGCAAAGCCATCTCTGAAGAAACCAGATGGGTCACAGCAGGGTTAGATGAGGGTCTCATCCATCACTACAGGAAGTGTGTGCCAGATGATGACCCTACTAGTGACCTGCAGTGTGAGATTCTGGTCAAGGATGAAACTATTTTAAGATATGAAGCTCCACTGACTGTTGCCAGTCGGGAGGTGCTGGCTGGTGCCATGGAGTTTTTTATACCTGGTACATGATATGGGATCTCTTGCGATCATCAGCATTCCTTGGTTTTAAACATTGTACCATGGGGTGGAGTGATTTAGCTGTTAGAGTACCTGGCTTATGAGACCACTGTCTCATTTCAGTTCACAGCAGAGGTAGGACTTTGCTGACCAATCTGACCAATACAGTCCTGGAGTTGGCCTAGCCTCATTGAAATGGGTTCCAGACAATTTTCAGAATTTTCTGAGAAGTAAAAAAAGAGAAAAGAAACTAGCCATTTCACCTTGCATATTAAGGTCTACTACAGGGCTATTCAATTAAGTTTGCTCTGTGGTCAAATGTTGAAAATGGCAAGTCTCGTGTGACAGATGCCTGAACCTAAGGGTAGAAAGATCATTAATATAATGCAATTGGCAACGATCCAATTTGCTAGCCCTCTGGGGGCCACATTCCACCCATAAGCAGCCAGTGAAATAGCCCTGGTCTAGAATATGTGTTTGCCTAATATTTCTGATTCACACATCAAAGACAGTGGAGACTGTGGAATTATCCTTACTATGGGCTAGATGTCTGGTTTTCTCTGAATATCTGTTATTTTCTCAGACATGAGGTTTGGAAAACTTCCTGTCAAAATGGAGGATTAGACACGGCAGAATATTGAGCTTCGAAGTTATTTCTGCTTCCTACAGCACTTTGCTAATTCAGTTTCCTCATATGGACGGTGGTCTATGATTTCACAGCATGAGCTACTAAGTTTAGTTTCTGGAACAGAGCACACAAGAAACGGAGCAAGCATGGGGAACAAAATTCATAATTTGTTTAAATCACCACTGATCACTGGCATCATGAAGGCTAAGAAGGCTAACAGACTGAAATGGCTGGGGCATATTAAGAGAACGTCAGATGACAGAGAGGTAAAAACTATGTATACAAGGGAGCTGAATTGACATAGACAAGGAGGCAGACCAAGAAGATAATGGAGAGATAATGTCCAGAGAGACCTGCAAACACTTGGTGTTACCAACGGGAAAGAGAAGGCCGACCACAGAAATGTGTGCCATACAATTTTCAGAAATATCTTTATGACTGCTGGCATCAAGTACAGTAAAACCTCATTAACACAAATTCCAAGGGACTGAAAATCAAGTCTGTGTTTAAAAAAATTTGCAATAACCGGGTACTAGTAATGATAATACTGAGACCAGAATTTTGTTCATGTTAACCTAATGTTCTTCTTTAGCAAATTCATGTTAACATGGCTTTGCTGTATTATACTTGGAAGAAGATGGCAATAAGTCTCTGTAGCACAGAGGACAGTGCACCAGATTTCTAATCCAGAGGTTCCTATTCTACCTGGGATGTAAAGTTGTAAATATATCCACCCACACTGAACTACAGGTTACTTTGTACTGTAATATAAAAGTGTTATACAACTGAACGGGGGTTTCTTGAATTTTCTCATGTTGGATTCTCATCCTAAAACTGGCTCTCTAAGTCACTGGGTGTTAATCTTTCTAACTGAAATCCTAGAGTCAAAATATATTTATATATATATATATATATATATATATATATATATATATATATATATATATATATATATACATACTGGGCTCATTCTGAGAAGAAGTGAACAGGGTATAAGAAAACAGGAAACATGGACTAAGGAAGCAAGAGCATCAAAAAGAAACTCTGACAGTCAGTGTATAAGTCAGCCAGCGTTAGCAAGCTAGCAAAACCCCAACATTCCCACCCACATGATATCTAAAAAATTGCCCAAAATGGGAACAGTAGAGGAATCTAATGCAAGTTGTATGTTACACATAATGATACTTCATGATGTTGTTGACTTCCATCATTTCCTGTTGTGTCTTGAATGAGCTTGTTTTAGCACATGTTACAACTTTCAAGCACTTCCTGTTTTCTCTTTGAGATAAGCTTAATTCAGTTATGTAAAACAATTTCACTCTTCCTACTCGCAATCTGAGAATGGATACAAAATATTTTGTTTAATTAACTAAAATCCATCAAGGCAGTAGGAGAAGCGGGAGTAATATGATTAAAGAGAATATTTCAGGTAAAAAAAAAAAGTAAAGGACCCTTTAGGCGTATAGGACATATAGGGCTAGACCTATATTTTTATAGACCAATCGGCACAAGATGGGTGATGTGGTCAGCATCACGCCGGCCGCCTTTACTTTTCCGGGATTGCACCCGGTGCTCACTCAAGGCTGGGTCGACCTGGGAGCCAAGGTCATTATTGAAAACAGTCCGGCTCCGCTAGGAAGCGAACCCACAACCTTCTGATCCGCGGCGAGCATCTAGCCGCTCGGCCACGGCGACTCCCAATATTTCAGGTGGCATAGGAAAATCAAGAGACACCATGAGATGGCAAACTGTTGTCATCGTCCCGCAAAAAAAAAAAAAAAAATAAAGGCAGTAGGACTGTAAGAATTACAGAGGAATATCTTTTCTAAGTCACACTGGGAGAATGTAAGATCATCACAAGAAGGCCTAGACCAATGATAGAGTATCAACTTTCAGAAGCACAGATGGGCTTTTGATGAAACAGAAGTTGCACAGATGCCATTTATACACTGAGACAGCTATCAGAGAGAGCATTAGAACACGATAAGACATGTTTGTTGACATTCACAGACCAGGAAAAAAAACTTTTGATAGAGTCGACAGGAATATGTTGTGGGAATGTATGGGGTGAAAAAAGGAATCAGCAATCATCTCATAAATATTTGCAAAAGCCTGTATAACGTAGTAAATACTGCATAAGATCGAAGGCAGGTTTGTCAAGAACTTTTATAGTGACCTCTGGTGTGCCTCAGGTCTGTGTACTATTGCTGCTTCTTTTTATAACATACATGGATACCATTTGTAAGGAAACAAACTGTTATCATATAGAAGATATTACAGAATTACTATTCGCCAATGACCAGGTACTCATAGCACAAAGTACGGAATGCCTACAGAACCACCTAAATCAAATTAGTAACAAAGGAGAGGAATATAATATGAAAATAAACACTACAAAGACAGAGACAATGGTGAAAGGAAGACAGAAAGAAAATTTAGAAATAAAAAAACAACACCTTAAAACAAACAGAGGAATTTAAGTATTTGGGAGCAATTTTCACATCTGACAGAAGACTGGACAGGTAAATTAGCTTTAGATGTGCCAAAGCTGATCAAGTAATGGGGAAACTATCTCCACTGTTGGTAATTAGAAAGAAAAAGTCTGGTACTGCCAAGAATTGAACCCACAACCTTCCAATCTGCACGGCAACTCCCAAGCTTTGCACTAATGGTTCAGAAATCCCATACTCTTAACTTTAGAAGACTTTTCTGAACATGAGCAGGTCTTGCTAGTCACACTAACCATTACAGTATTGTATTATTATTTATATCTACAAGATATCATTTACTATTTAAGATCAACATTTAATAACAGCCATGTTTTTCAAATCTATGTTGATATTATTACGACTGCTGGACTGACAGGCATTCACCACCATACTTGACACGCATTTGCCGATGAATTTCTAAAGATTTCACCACTTCACAGATTTAAAAAAAAATGGAAAACAGATTGTCGCTCCTCTTTGTGCATGTCAAAAGTGGGACACACATCTATAAACTATTATTATGACATCACCGTGTTCATCTGCATGTGATGTCCCATCTCTTACTATAGCCCAATAAAGCATTATCGCCTGGAAACATAGAAGGGTGCCAATAATACATCTGGAAAGGACAAGAACTTTAACATCTGTATTTATCCCATTCTAGGATGGTGGAGAAGTGCACTCTGGGAAAGATGCTAGCTTTATCCTAGGAAGAAAACTATGTTATGGCAGGGCAGACCAGGCCCTTAGCCTTGGCTAGCAGCTGATCTAGGAGGAAAGTTCTGACAGGTGGACAGATAGAGTACTGCTTTTCTGATCCGGCAGCTACTGCAGCCTGCTTTATTCCAAACGCACTGGTGTAAGCTTTCCTCTGGAGTAAACAAGGCAGGTCGAGAGAGGGATCATGATGCATGGCCCATTGAATACTGCCCAGGCTTTGCGCCATGGAGAGGAGGAACTTTAGTTTCATGCCTCCTCAGAGCACAATATAACACTATCACCGGGAAAGATGGCAAAGTGACGTCAACAACAACGACAGCAGGATGTGTAGAACAAGGGGTCTTAAACCTGAAGATTCAGGGTCACATGGCTAG